TTGCTGAGCTATAGTCTTTTTTCTCCCCTTCATGACAATGCCGATTTTTTAAAATGAAATATTAGAGGATTTTCCAATGATATTACTTGTTTTTGGACCGCTTAGTGAAATGCAAGTGAATTTTTCATCGTGTAATAAGTAAAAAATCTAAATCCGCATTCATCCACGACAGCTCTGAAATACCAATGTATAAATCAAGATATACATTACTTTCGTGTTACAACACACAGTCACAGTTAGAAATGCTAGGGTGTTAGCGTTAGAACGGGATGAAGTATCAGAGCTGCGCAATAGATCAGAGGTTGAGCGCGCGGAGAAGACATACCATTTAAATAATTTATTATATTCGCGTGCCTGCGCGCGTCGCACCCTCGGTGGCTGTGCGCCAGCTCCATGTATGTTCGCTAGTCTTATCTGCGCAACGTATTGATTTGATTCTCCCATCTTTACGTCAATGTGTTCTTTTCATACGTTGACTTGAAATATTTTCTCGGCGCACTCGATTCTGGCCTGAATATTACTTGTGTGATTGATGGCCGAGCGCGCATCTTTGGTATGTGTATGTGTCGATAAATTCTTTGTGTGTTGCATGTGTGACGATACATTCTTTGTGTGCTGCATGTGTGTCGATAAATTCTTTGTGTGCTGCATGTGTGTCGATACATTCTTTGTGTGCTGCATGTGTGCTATATATGTATCAACACATTCTTGGTGTGCTATATATCTATCAACACATTCTTGGTGTGCTGCGAGTATGTCAGATCATTGAGAACCTTTCATATTATATCGTATTTAGGTCTCAACTTATAGGGTATGTTACATAGCATGTGTAACGAACATTCTTAATACAATTGCATTACTAGGCTGTTGCTTGACGTGGGCTGAAGCCTCTCGCATGCGTGCAAGTGTCGAAGCGACCGTTAAGCCGTTGTTATTGAAAATTTGTCCTTGCGAGATTTACCGCACTTCACTGGAAGTGTTGTTGAAGTAAGAGAATTTATTAAGTCTTTTTCGGAGCGAACGAGAGATAATGCGTGTCTCGAATTTACAATCCGTTTGGAACTATGGCGTTTTGCTAAAGGCATTTTTTCGAATTCGTATATATGAAGTGCATATTTATTGCGCTGTGTGGGATTTAGTTTCATTAAATATTTTTTTAAAAAAAAAAAGGTTTTCTGGAGGGCTCATTTTCACCCTCGTTTTCAATAATTCAATCGTGGCGGTTAACGCTGACTGTTAATATTAATTTTAAAGGAAATTTTTCAGTGTGCGCTTCGAAGTTCGATTAGAAATCAATTCACGTTGTTTATTGTAAATTTTGGGCGATGGTTGGCGAGCTTTAATGTCATTAGTGGAGTCTAAAATCTAGATTATCGAAACTCCAGCGCTAACGAATATAACGTTAAAACGGCACGTGTGCCTGAACTATTGGCGCTTCTTGTTTAACCCTCGATGCCTCGACGTCTGCGGAGAGTCGTGCTGTCGGGCGAGGGTATGTGGGAATTGGCACGGCGTCATCACCAGCCAGACATAGCCTGCCAACTCGTAGCAAAGTGTTAGACGCTGCAACTCCCGACACAGTAATTGTTGAACGCCACGTGGTTTTGCTTTATGTGTATAGCAACAAACTATTCCTTAGGAGCATGATTCACATTGCTGGAATATAGAATACATTGGAAAATATACTACTCCCTACCCGGTAACTGATAACACCATGTGGTTGGATTTATGTTTACAGCAACATCTTCCATCGAAGCAGGCTTCACATTGTTGAATCATGGAAACAGTTGATGCCGTACACTGCGACGCTTGTGAAGCCTTATGCAATATTACAACAACTTGTTTCCAAAGAGTTGTATTCAATGCCTACGGACTGGGTATATGTAGATTATGCAAGAGACAAAATAGATTATTAGCTATAAATTATATACAGTTCAATATTTTAGCAAGACTATTTCAGATTTAATTATCTTAAAACAAGGAACGTTTGCTGCACGAATCTAACTTACAGAAATAATTCGTTCCTAACGAAAAAAAGAACTGAATACTGGGAATGAAGTGTCAGGTAAACTACTGTACAAGGAAAACTGGAGACTGTAGGTCCAAACAAAAATGTTACGTGAAGCGTCTGTGTGAAATTGCGATTGTAACGCTCAAGAAGCATCACGACGTACCACCTATAGAACCAGAGCTATATATGTTATATATGTTATGCTTTAGCTTGGACCTGGATTGCCGCGGACGTCACTTATCAGGTATACGGCTACAAACTTATTTTTCAGATGATGATTTGTTTCAATAATACGATAACTTCCATCGTTGAGATTTAGTGTTCTTCAAATGTAATAAGGTCATTTGTCCATAATAGGCAGTTTCGGGAAACAATATTGTTGAAACAATATTGATTCTTCCCTATTGGGACTTCACAATTAAAGAAAATTTTCTTTGCTAAAAATTTTCAAACGAGATTTGTTTTAATCATCTGTTCTGAGATTTTTTGTGTCAATATTGAAACTTGAAAGTTTTCTATTTTTATTCCTAGCCTACCAGTGCTATCTTCCATAACCGTCCGGCGCGAAATAGATAGCTATCTGAAGCGCTAGTAAATCTTTTACTACTACTACTCCATAACCGTCAATGACTGAAATTAAAGTTATCGCAGGCCGTGTTCTGGAGCACTGTATGTTTTAATAGGACATAACCAACTGTTTTGGTTTTGAGATTGACAAGGTAACAGTGGTTGCGTTGATTACCTAACGATTACCTAATCACGGGTTATTGAGCTCTGTAAAGGTATGCGTATATACTGTATGTTGTGCCAAAACCGCAGAATTGCCGATTCTATGGAATCGGCAGCCAGTTTGTCGAATTTGTAGAATCAGCATTTCTATACTATAGAAATCTGAGGTTAGGTCAGTCAGCCAAGTTCTTTTTTTAATATTTAAATATATGTAACTTGACCGAACTTGACCTAACCTTTCTAATTCTAACTGTCGATTTATGTTCTAACTTTAACGTCCGATTTTCTGAATCAGCAACGAAATGCTGATTCAACAGATTCGGCAAACCGGCTGCGGATTCCAGAGATCGGCTATTCCGCGATTTGGGCACGACATATAAAAATGCGCTGAGCTTGTCTCCTTCGACTATATGTAATCACTATCCTAATGGGAAAAAACGTTTACATCTTAACCAGTTAGGATCCTGACGTGAAAAAAACCTATTCACCTCGCTATGTTCAACGTGTCACTTGTTCTTAAAAATTCGTAAAAATCAGTTTGTTGGGATCTCTGTAGGAGCTTGTGAAAAACTATGAACCAATGACACCTGCTCAAAAATGAGGCTGAAATAAGCATTTGTGCAACGGAACACTGGCCGCCTACGAAACAAAGTTGTCAAAATATCGCAGAACACACAGAAGTGTACAAGCGATTGGTGCATGTGTGGACAAAAAGTTTCTTTTGTTGCATGTTGATACATTTTGGTTGCACATCAGTCGAAAATTGCATGCAAGACTCTGCTTACCAGTCAGTCTTTTTTAGTGCCACAGTAAATGCTGTGATCGATGCACCATCGAGTTTCAACCTAGTAATGAGATAATCCGTAGCCTATTAGAGGCTTGCAAATGGCTGGGTCATCAAAACATTGGATTTATGGGGTTCCATTTATAGCGCATGCCGATCGCTATCATCAAGCCATGGACGGCATGTCGTAAAAAAGTGAAGCAGTCGATGCCCTCAATTTACGTATACTCATTCGCTTGTGCATATCTTGATGGAAATAAAAAATCCGAATGCGGACCAACACTACGAATCATATGGTCTTATTTTGACGGAAAAATTACTACGGGCCCAAAAAATGATCGCAGGAACAATCTTTATGAAGTTCTGTCGAGCAATGATCTTTGGATTGTCGCAGAGGAAGTTCGTTTTTTTTTTTTTTTTGCATTTCCGGTACATGCTTCATTGTTGGTCGTCCCGCCTTCTGAGAAACTGAGTATCACGGCACTCGCGGTTTCGTTGCACCGGAAAACAGCGAATATAACAACACTTGCCAAACTTGAAATCTAAATGTAGTCACTGCAAGGTAAGAATTTTTTCGATAAAATCTTTCAATTTTTGTGAAACTTGTACATGAGACAATGGTCCTGAGAGTAGAGAATACTTTTATTCTTGAACTTATAAAAGGTCCAGAAGTAGTGCAAAATTAAAATAGAGTTTATTTTCTTGGAACAGTTAAACGAGAAATGGTGCAGTCGTGTGCCGACTTTGACTTGTTGGAGAGAGAACCAAGTGCAAAAAATTACAGTTTGAAGACTTGTTTATTTTCAAAGACCGAGACGCTTTTAAAAACAAATTCAAGATGCCATTAATTGTTCTTCGCAGGAAACAACAAGGAAATGTGTTGTTAGTTGGTCACCGCACACTGTACAATGTACATGCGACATGAGACGCCCTGCACTGGCATCGAGCAGTAATCTTTGTAAAAGTACAACTAAGCCAATGTTATTTTATTTTGGCGACACGTGTTGTCCTTTGTGTTACTATTTAATGTTTTGAAATGACCAATTCTTTGTTTAGTTTGAATATCAACGTATTCAAATAATTTGAGTAAATTACTGTGATATCTAACTTGGTTTTGGAATTCAGCTCCAGAAAACATTCTGTTAATGAAACATATGCAACTCACATGAGTTAGATAAAAATGAACCGCTAATCACTCGGTTGAAGAGTCTGCTAGTCGCGAAAGAATCTTTGGTGCTTGCAATTCTTTCTTTACTAATGTTCATTTATGGCCCAGCAAGTGCAGGATATTCACCAGTTATTCTGTGATACGTTTCAATCATATTTTATATGTGCTTACGTTTTATTTACTCGAAATTTATCCTCCCTCTAGGACCTCTCTATGTATGACATTCTAATAAACTTATATTGATTTTAAATTTTGTAACCCATATTACAACATATGATAATTAAAACTGCATATTAATTTAATTTCAGAGTTGAACGTGAGCCTGGGTGGAGCGTTGGCGGTGGTGGTTTTGGGTGCTGTGGCGGTGGTGGTGGTGCTCGTCAAATGCGTGTCTGCTCAGAGCACTAAGATGGGCCAGCGTTCATGGGACGCTAAGCATCATCATACAGAATCGCAGCAACAGCAGCTGCATCATCAAGAAACGCAGACGCAACAACATCATAATCATCAGGAACATCAACAACAAACACAACAGGAACTGCAACATCAGCAAGCACAGCAACAGCATCATATAGAATCGCAGCAACAAGAACAACAGCTCATTTATTCCGAGCACTTCGATTTCGTTCCGCGGCCCCAAAGCGTGAATGATTTGCATTCTCAGAATTTTCCTACCTGTGCTCGCCGGAAGATTAGATTCTGCCCAAGGAAAAAGACTCGAGATATTGAGTTTCACAACCTCAAGCTCAACGAATCGGAAAAGAGCACTCGACGTCTTAGGAGACTTGAAAATTTTACACTTTCGAAACCCGGTTTGGACCTTACTCTCAGGAACAAATTTTCGTTTGTTCGTATCAACCAGCCTGAAAGTTTTGTATTCTGGAGACCCCGTTCTTCTTACAGTGGCTCCAAACATAATCCTCAAAAACAGTCTTTTCATCACAAGACCTCATATTTTGCTAGTAGAAATTTGAAGCCTTGCAATAAGCGATCTAGTAGAAGCCTTCCTCTTCTTGAATTGGCACCCTTGCTGGAGGGAAGCAGTGCTGCGAAGTCCACTCATCAAGTCGAAGGAAATTGTTGTGAGTCGCATCGTTGTTCTAGTTGTTCTACGTACTATTTGCAAGATTTTGAAGTGTTTGGCAATCAGTTTATGAACAGCATTGTATGCCACAACGCTCTTTCTGTGTTTACGAACAATCAAATCGTTCAAGAGTCATATCTTCCTCGTGCCTCCTGGAGGGAGAACTGCTTTTCTCGTCGGCGTTCGTTGCACAAGGTCCGTATAATACATTTAAGTCGTTCAATTATGTTTATACTATATTATCAGAAGTATACTTCCATAGACGCAGTAACTCGTCTGAACTTCCCTGCTGGCTGCCCATATACCAATGGCGGTTTGATGCTTCTCTCTCATATCCTTGCTTTGTTTTGTATAAAAGTCATGCACCCTATTGCTTGAATCGAAAATTCACTAAGAATTTAAAAGCAGAGAAAATTGCCAAATATTTTACCCTTTCTTTATAAGAGATAACGTTTTCTCTCATTAGGAATAAGTGAAATTTTGTTGAAATTGGTATCGAATATTCGATAATATTCGATACCAATTTCATATTCGTAATTCATAATATTCGTATATTCATAATATTCATACCAATTTGAATATTCGATACCAAACCAATATACAATTGGTTTGGTATCGAATATTTTATTTCTGAAAACACTTCATGGCTATTGTGCTGTGTGAAGAGCCTATTATGTCACAAAATTGTAGAAAGTCCTACAGAAACTTCCTGCGAATATTCCTGCTGCCAAAATTTTTTTACCAGCAGTTCTTTTCTTCATGCTGGAATTCAAGTTGTATATGTTCTTTGATTTAGTGGAGAGAAACAACTGTTTAGTGGAGAGAGACATAACTTTTTAGATTTAATTGCCTTATAGCCACATTTATGTATACATCAAACCTTACACCCTTCAGTAGTGCAAGACAAATTCTTTAGAATGAATCCTTTTTGACCAACCAGATGTTCCTATTTGTGTGTTTAAAAGCACAAAATGTCCTCCACTTATACTCTAACTATTTTTTAACAACGAGCTAGACGCATGCAACAAGTTGCATTGTGAAATTTCCGAATCTATAAGATGCCATGCAATGTTCGCTGTATTGAGTGAATTTTGTAGCGATCGCCATTTGAGTCACTCCTGCAACGTCGCATGAAGTTTTGCACAATGGCAGAGCCTAAGGCTGCGGTTTGTATTCGATCTTTTGCTTCCAGGAAAGCCTCTTGCGTCTCATTGAAATTGGTTTCAATAGAGCCACCCAAGTCTTTTCTTGGCAGCCCATTGATGTTTTGAGTGAATGCGCGGTCCCTTCGCTTTAAGGGGATTCTGTTCGATAGGACCGTATTGTGAATTAAGTACATTGATCATCCACCGTATCATTTTGTAATACAGTGTAAAACCAATGCTTTTCTTCTATTTAGGTGCTCCAACGTGGCTGTTTTTGAATACATCTTTTATCTCGCTCTTCGAAAGCCATCTTCTCAATACCTAACCGAAGTCCTTGTGGGGCTCATTTTAGTTCACAGTATTTTACTCGCATGTATTACCCATGTATTCTCTTTTAGACTCCCAGTGCGTGCGTTGCCCTTATTATAAAAGCTTCTATAAAGTTTGTCGTAGTTCCTATAAATAAATTTGAACCATGTAATCACTGTAAGGAAACAAATTATTTTAAGATTTTGAAGCCTATAAATACATGAGAGTTGTCTCCGGCTAAGAATTGATTCCATCATGCTAGTTCCATTCCTGCTCCATGTCAAGTTTCGGAATAGTTGACCATCGATGAGCTAGTCCGCACTTAACCACATCCTGAACGATATTTGGTATTTTCCTCTGTCTTGCGGTCATTTGATGTTGCAAACCACAGAACGATAATTTTTTTCTATTGGCGTCACTGACTTGATGCCGACTATGATGAATTGTTGTACAAACATCTTTCTTGAGGCCTCAAAGGGATCATATTTATTTGCGTGCTGAAAATATTCTGCCATTTCAAGAATACGTTATTGAAAAATTTGCAATATCCAATCAATAAAAAGTTTTTATGGTTGTGCTCGTAATTTTAATTATTCATTCGTTACTTTTCCAACATGAATTACGTATGTTTCTGTAACTATAAATTAAAGACTATAATGTGTCTGTTGTCAGGTCCAAAGGGAAGACGGCCTCGTCTTCCCTTTCTTCATATTAAACATAATTACCGACATTGTAACTAGAATAATGACGGAAATAGTGACCGCAATAATCACTAGATTATAACCCGAATAATTAATCAAATTAATAACCTTGATGATTACCAGGATTATCACTGAAAAGTGACTGGAATAATGGTATTCTGGCTTTAGCAAAGACGAACCAGCGGAACCACCGACGCCGGAGGTTATATATAGAGTGCGAAGGCGGAAAGCGCTGCGGTGTCCTCGCTTCCGGATCTCCAAAAATCGCGAAATTGCACATTCTTCACTGGCCATAACTTTGGATTCCACGTCTACAATTATTAAATTACATTGAATTGAATTAATATGTCGTGTGAGTGTACTGAATTATTATTAAGATGGTGTCGTTTAAGTAAGAGATTTAGACGGGCTGTTCGATAGGTTGCCCGTTTCGACGTTCTTTGCTTCGTCGAATTTTAATTGCGAATGTGGGTGACACAAATGAACCCGATACACAGATTAGCTCTATACATAGATGAACCAGCTGCACAAATGAGCCCGGTACCCAAATGAACCCGATAGACAGTTTAGCTCTATACACAAATGAACCCGATACAGTTTAGCTCTATACACACATGAACCCGATACAGTTTAGCTCTATACACAAATGAACCCGATACAGTTTAGCTCTATACACAAATGAACCCGATGCAGTTTAGCTCTATACACAAATGAACCCGATACACAGTTTAGCTTTATACACAAATGGACCCGATATACAGTTTAGCTCTGGCCCAGTGAATGAACTCGATATACAGTTTAGCTCTATACACAAAGGAGCCCGATACACAGACTAGCTCTATACGCAGATGAACCAGGTACACAAATGAACCCGGTACACAAATGAACCAATGAACCCGGTAGACAGCTGGACCCAGTTGCTCAGATGGATCCGGTGCACAGATAAACCTGGTACGCTGAAGAACCCGAAACCTCGTGTGCGATCTGCAAGAAAATATGCAGTAAACATGATACCAATCTCAAGTTACAAAGATATTCATGTTATATTCGTCATCAAGTTTCCATTGCTCAAGTTTATCACTTAACCATGTTTCTTATGTTACCGTACTCGCGTGTTGAGGTTACCACTGTTTGAGATTACAGTGTTTCCCAAATTACCCATGTAATTAGGTTACCAAGTTGTCGATATAACCTTGTTATCATGTTGCCAGTTGCCGGTGCTCATCACTTGGTGCAACTACGCGAATAATTTGAATATTTTCCCCAAGGTGGTAGCTTAATCCCAAACGAACTCATCGCCCCCAACATGGCGGGAATGGAGGATAGGAAAGTCGTTTCTGAGCCTCGTACTCGATGTAGGTTAGCCAGGGTTTAAAGGGACGCTGAGTACGTGAGAAAGGTGTATTGATGCAGGCAATTAAAAGTGTAGCAACAAAATGGTATACGCATAGCATGACGTGCTTAATTTTCGAGGCAATTTAACGAGGATGGCACTAAGAAAGAAGCGACAGAGCTGGTGCTGAGCTAGACATGATATCGACCAGACTGCCTTGTGCCACATCTGAGCTCAGTCTAGGAGCTGCAGTGCCACGTCGCTGCCACTGCGCGCAGCCAAGAGTGCATGCCTTACTGCCGCTGCTTCTCTTGGTGCTGCAAATGCCGCCGTCGGCGCAGCTCTGCTATCCTGGTATAAAACGACCTTCACCTGCACTCTCACTCTCAATTTTTTAACATCCTTCACAAAATTAATTTAAATTATCGTACAAACTTTCCTTAGTTTGGGCTACGTGGCCCGAAGTCGAGCAGAGTTCTGATGACTTTGTTCGAGAGCTGCGGCCGGGACGAGCGGCCTCTAGTCTGGCATATAGACGGCAGAGGCGAGCGCCCCTACTGCCCTTTCCGCCTCTCTCTATTCGTGCTGCTTTCGTGTATAACTTTTCTCACCCTCGCTTAATTATCACCGTTTGCTACAATGGTTGAGTTTCTCAACGCCTGTGATCATTTTAATCATTTATTGCTTCGGTTGTTACTATCACAGCTTGCTACCTTCAACACATGAGGCAATTCTCATTAGTTACTGTCACGCTTGCTACACTCACGACTGGGACCATTTTCTCTACTTATTGTTACGAGTGCCAACCTCGTCTAGATATGATCGCTCATTTCTTGTGCGTTGCTCTCTTTTTCCTCGTTTATAAAGTAAGAGGAAAGCCAGTTCCCTGTGTGACACTGACAGGTCGCGCTGTCCTGTTGCAGCAATGCTAGTGGGTAACACATTAACTTCTTCTAGTTTTTATCAGACTTTTAATTGTTGTTTTGCGCCTTTTTTTCTGTTCTGAGTTGTTTCGATACACTCGAGGAACATTTTTCTTGAATTATTTTGTTTAAAGCTTAGCTCTGATTTGATCTGACAGATGAATTTTCATAATATCTCATGCCATCACCTTTACAAAATGTAGATTTTCAGCGGGCTGTGAACTTGTCCGTGCCCTTCTTTGCGTGTTGTCAACGAGCGACTGGTCAATTAGAATAAGTTCCGTGCGAAATCTTAGAATTAGAAGCGCTAATAATTTTTTAAAGTATACAAAATATACCTTAGGGGACGATGAACGCTAAATTACACAATTAATTATACCTCCGCTCCCAAAAGAAGTCTGCAAGGAAACTGTACGCCTAATCACCGTTCTCCATCAATCCTACTAATCGCTCGTGAACGGAGATATTGTTGCCTAGCACTGACTCGATACTTCAGGTACGAATAGCATTGATCTTTGGATTGTCATAGTTTTTTCATGGTTCTTGTCATGACTATTTGACCTATAAACGCCTCAAGGTTTAGTATTAATTATATAATTACCGATGGGAACTATAGAGACGTCAGGAACGTTCTGACCAATGATGGGAGTTATGCGATTTTTTCCTGCTAAATTTACTGCTTTCAGCGTCTAATTTAATGTGATGTATCAGATGTAATCTTGAAACTTGAGTCGCTCATTTGGCGTGTGACGAGACAGCAGAGCTACACACATTACGAGTAACG